GACTATATTTAGTGGATAAATTGTTGAGCTAGAACTATTAAGATAATGTGTCTTTTACCGGCAGCCAATACGAAAATGCCAACAAGCCACATTTGTGACGGATGCTACCTACATGTATACAAAGTCAACTTAATCGGACTCCCGCCAGCCCCACACTGGCAGTTGACATCCATCATCATAAACTATCACTCGATAGCGAGTGCAGCGGTCAGGGCGCGAGGTCGCGGTAGCTCCTTGCTTGCCCCCTCGCTCAGAAGCCAAAAGACAAGAAAAGACCAGCCCGAAACTCCTGCAGCCAAAGGACCAGCCAGGCTCACGAAAAACCGACGTTTACCAGAGCCCGTCCCGGCCAGCCCCGACTTCGGGTCCCCTCTTTATCAAGGGACGTGGTGGGGCCTCTTAATCAAATCCAAGCCAGGAATTTACTGATGGACTAAGAGGCGGGCGCCTTGATAAACGATGTGGTCGGGCGGCGGGGCAGAGGGAACACAGCTGCGCAAGTTATTGATTATGAGGGGACGAAGATCCTGGATAACCAAGCAAGGGACGCAAGATACCATCTATGTTCGTCGGCCTTTTGGAAGTAATTCCGGACCCCTCCTAGGCCTCCCAACAATGGACCGATGAATCCCACCAGGAAAAATGGAAAAAGATCAAAAGGATACTACACAAATGCTACCTTACGACTCATACGAAAAGGTTAGAATTGGCTCGATGATTTATGGGATTGCAAGCAGTTGTCCAGTCGTTGTAGGAGCAAAACGGCGGAAAATTCTTCTCGAATCAAAAGGATTCTCATGTCCGGCCTTTATATGTACATGTAGTATTAAATAGTATAGACGCAGGGCGCCCAAAACGGCAAAAGATAACCAGTACATCGGATGCAAGCCACACTAGTAGCCACAAGTGACTACAATGATTGATAGGCAAAGTGATGGTTCTGTTCGGGTACGTACGTCTCCCTAGCCTCGCTTTAACTCAAAAACAGTGGCCTGTGCACCTCATGAAGTAAAGGGACTATGGAAACGGTGGGTTTCTGTAGGGCAATTTTGGGCTGTTATACCGGCGCCAACCGTTCTGTTGTGGAGCTTGAAAATTTGGGCCGTAGATTTCACTCCTAAAACTTCACGACTTCTGTTGAGTTAGTTGGTAGATCTCTTGCAGCAGGGCTATGAGCAGCCGCTAAGGCCTTAGGGAGACAGATTCACACGCCCTTTCCCGTTGTGCTTCAAAGGTTCTAATATAACTGCTGGTCTTGAGTTGTAAACACCATTCAAAAAAAAAAAAAAAAAACATTGTATCTTTCTGGTATTGTAACATTTGCGAGTTGATATCGAGGGACCCCGCCTTAGGTCTGAGGTTGTATCATCCCAAAACTACATGTACATGTAGTAAATGCATGCCAACTGAAAAACTTGCGGTGGTTCGAAGTAAAGAAACGTTCGACTGCAGCTGTGAGACATCAATAATAGGTCTTTTAGTACACGTAGCAGGAGTTTTATGCGGCCTTAGAATTAAAGCAAATTATTACTCTAGGTTCATCTAAGTTGAATTCCAACAAAAACCACGGCGAAGTATGCACATACAAGATGTTTCTAACCTATCTTCGGGCTAACAGAACACTCATCAATCCTTGTGTTAATGAGGATCTTTACCACCTCCTGACTTTAGTCCATCCTAGAATTATAAATCTCGGTTTCTTTCGCAATAATTGTTCTCAATATTAACGGGGATGATTAAATGCCTATTTAATGGGATTGTCGAACATCCGGAGCCTTTATTTGTGCTCCTAATCTCACCGACGTCAATGGTTGCTCATCACACTTAGGGGAAGGGGAGAGAAGTAGCTAGGAAACTCGAAACCCAAGTCTATGAGTCGCTTCGAACATCAGCAGAGACCCTCACTAGACCAACCTCCCCTTCGACAATAAATCGTATAAAAGCTGTTGTCCTACCCCGAAGGTGTTTCTTGTCTCAACAGGAACACAGAACAGTTCTTACGACTAGTGGCACACGTGGAGCATCTAGAGGTGAGCCTTCTTCGATTGTGAGGTTTCTGCAAAGCCATATGATCACCGTAGTATTCGTAAGATAGGAGTTAGGGAAAATTATGTTGGGAGGAATCGAATCATAAGCCTAAAAATGCCTAGTGGTCATCTGTGGCAGGACGGCCATTGTTCTCTAGGGACAAACACGTAAAGTTCAATGGGTAGACGATAGAAACCGAAGCGATAACACGCTATCAATCAGTGCAACAAGAGAAGCCTTAAAGAACACTCGGGAGGACAAGGTAACAGATATCACCGTGATGAAGACAGATCTAGAGGGAGATCTTGTTAGTGGTAGTCTCAACAGCTCCAACATGTCATCCACCCCGATCAACTTCTTTACTCCCCAAGAGCCAGCAGTACCATCATACCAGGATAGCGGACTAACCCTCTATCCGAGGGCCATGAGACGGAAGACTGTCACACGACAACTTTAACCGTAAGGCTGACAGTGAAGTTAACAGCAGGTGGGGTCCGGTTCTCTGAAGGTGCATAGCAAAACTAGCAACTAGGGAGCCCAGATCCAAGGAGGGTCCCTGACCCGTGTTCAAGGCCCCTAAAACATCTCGATCTGTGCTTTTCCATTGCTATACAGGATGCTGCGTCCGGAATCTCTTCGGGGTTAAATTAAAATTCATCTCTCTTCTTCTGTTGCAGCTGAGAATTGATCAGTTCTGCGTATTGGGATCGAAGATGGTGAAGAAGGCCCTTCGAAAGGAACAACGGAGGGATAGGCACTTTGCAAACCTTCGAGTGATGTCCTAAGATGCAGAAGAGGGTGACACAATCCTTCTCGTCGGGTGCGGGGTTAGCGGTGAGTTTGCTTCAACCCTACTCGTGGAAAATTTCAAGGCATGAGGATAACAAAAAGTTATTTTATCGAATGAAATAACTCGGGGATATCTCCAAATATAACACGGCCATTATCTATGCGCGTACCTACATAGAAGATCAAATCACTCATAGGATTTCTGGCGATCCTAGTCCATCAATTGGATCCTTTCTAGGATCTCATACTCAAGTGGGCATGTAAAGTAGGTTTCAGTAGGTACAAATCTTCCCACCTGAGGGGAAAGTTAACGTCCTATGCAGCTTATGGCCCAATAACGAAAACTATAAGTGGGGGTTTTCTTGGAAGAGGATATGACCGTATTCTGCTACAATAGACTCGGCTGCAAGACTACCTTCAGGCACCGATTTCCGGCACCGATTTCCTTCCCCGCATCGAATAAATAGGATCAAGTAACCCCAATTAACCGACAAAATCACTTCTCAATTCTCTGCTCTTCTAGAGAATATGTAGCTAGAAGCCCATCCCAATGTGCACAATGTGGTGGTGCCCCTTCTCCTGCTTTGGGGGGAAAAATAATATTGGCGTACATGAAGTGCATAGTATCACCAGTTGAGGTATTCAAGCCTCCCGCTATCAAGCCCGGCCGCGGTGGTTTTTGAGTATTTCCTGGGAATTGGCGTTCTCGCCCAACATTGATAGAGTTGCTAAAACCAGCAGTTGTTGAAGTCTGCCTTGCCAAGACGACGTTACCGTAAACAGGGGTGCCGCCATGGCATAGCTATATAGGGCATAAAGGAGTTGCCCGAGCCGGCCAAATAGATCTGCTGTATGTATATAAACTTTGGATTCCAGGCGTGTTTCTCTTTCCGCCTACAGGCGACGACAAGGCAGAAAAACCAGGAACGAAAACTGAGAGGAGCTTTAGAAGAACTTTCGGTTCGCAAGTCCTCTAAACACGTAATCTTAGCGTTGCGTCGTCATACCTGGACCTAAACAAGAATCTCACTGGACCCAACAAAATTTGCCGGAATAAGGGGTTCAAAGGAGCGGAGACCGAAGGTGAACATATAAACAAATAGATCAAGACCATAAGATGACCACTTCGATATAATAATTACCTTGTTATTGTCAGCTTCTCATGTCGAACAGCAACTTTTCAAGCAAAACCTTACTATCAGTACCCAATCAGCAACCATTGGCCGCGGGTTCTAGTACTACCATCAATAAATCTGGGAGTAGCACCCCCGACGTTTCAGACCCTGAAAAGGGCAGCCCTATGGCGACTCCAACAGTACAAATAATACGAGGTGGCGGTCTCCGAGCTTTATTCACGGGCAATGGAGCGTTAGCACCATTTCGATTGCTCAAAAGTGACTTGAAGGGGAGACCGAAATTGTATCATACCGATTGGCACTTCAACCAACTTATACTCGCGTCGGCCGTGTTTGTCTTCTTTACAAACTTGCTGCCGGGTATCACATTTGCTAGTGATTTATATATTTTGACGGGGAAGAACTATGGAACTATTGAAGTTGTATTTTCAACAGGGTTGTGTGGAATAGTCTTTGCGCTGTGAGTGACTGATTTAATATACTTGAGTATTAGGATGATGGCTAATGAGTGATGGGTTGTGATTGTAGGTTCTCGGGTCAACCACTTACCATCTTGGGCGTCACAGGGCCATTTTGCATTCTCTCAGAGCGTATATACGCGTTATGCCATGAGAACTTTCATATTGACTTTCTTTCCTTTATGGCTTGGTCGTGTATCCACTCTGCTTGGATGCACTGGTTGCTTGCCATTTTCAATGCCCACGACTGGACCATGGAGTATGTGACAACGTTTTCTACTGAGATATTCTCGCTACTTAACTCAATAATATACTTCCACAAGGCGTTAGTACAGACATCCCTGTTATTTAGTTGGAGTTCCCTGGGCTTAGACTCACTTGAATTACATACAGTATCCAAGAGCTGGAGCGATCCCACGCAAACACATCGTTAGCATCTTTCCTTTACTCTATCATCGGCTGTATAGGAACGTTTCTGGTAGCTGTAACTCTCTCCACTGCCAACAGCTGGGCCCCTTTATTCCACAAATATGTGCGAATGGGACTTTCTGAGTACGCAGCCGCTATATCAATTATCATCTTTATCGGCATGCCGCAGATCGGAGAATTGGATAGTCTTGATCAACAGCGATTACCTGTGTCGAGTATGTTATCTAGAGATCACCTTGATATAGTATTGATAAGCTAACAACCCGGCAGCGTCTTTTCGACCAACATCACCGGAAAGAAGCCACTTCATCGTCGAGTTTTGGAAGCTTGATGTATCATGGATTTTCGCCGCAATGATCCCGGGAATGATTATAACAACGCTCTTTTTTTTCGATGTCGAGGTATCTACAATATGTGCCACGATCTCGCGATACAACGTCCGCAAGCCAGGCGGGTATGCATGGGATGTCGTTCTTCTCGGGATCACCACGGCAATATGCGGCATACTCGGTATCCCCCCTGCGAACGGTCTCCTCCCGCAAGCACCGCTGCATTCCGAATCTCTTCTTCATGACGAGGAGGTGAGGGACGAAGATGGAAGCGTCAAGAAAATCACCACTGTCCATGAGCAGCGGTGGAGTCACTTGTTGCACGCGATCGGTATCTTGGCATTCGTGAGCCCGCCGTTGATGCATGTACTGGGATTGACACCGACCAGTGTCTTGGCTGGCCTGTTTCTGTATATGGGGGAACAAAGTTTAAGCGTGAATCCGATACTGATGAGATTTTTCCATATTTTGACGTATGAATTGTCTTCTTTATTATTTTACGGTGGTATTTGTTATTGACTGGACCATTGCGTAGGCCTTCGAGTGAACTGCCACCACTACCCAATGGAATCAAAGGCTACCGCGGAATTCATATGTACACTCTGCTACAAATAGTAGTGACTGCGGGCATCTTTGCGGTCACACTTACACCTGCCGCGCCAGCGTTTCCAGTCATTATTGTGCTGTTGGTGCCAATTCGGCTCAGGATCATGAACAAATGGTGGAACCGGGAGACATTAAAACGTATGTTACTTCCCCCCGTATTCCTGTTTCTTAAAATAATAAATTCCGCCTTCCATACGATACTATTCTCCCTTCTAAAACCCTCTTCCCCGGCCCCCACTTAATATAAAAAACAAGCTTAATCCCTTTTGGCTAAATGCTAAGAGGGCTAAGCTTTTTTATTTCCTTTGTCTTGCATCGTGTGAAACGCGGCTGACGTATGCCTCCCTGCAACAGATGTCGACGCTTGGGCTTGTAAGGAAGGAGAGTTCGATGATGATGACGACGAAAAGGACCAGGTGCGTGAAGCAGCTCGTATTCGTCAGTCCGAGGTATCAGAAGCAATAGTATGAGTTCAATGCCAATGATAGAAGGTCCAACACGAAGTTATGATAATGAACCTATGAATCCGGGAGGTGGGGGAAGGGGGGGAGGGAGAGGGCACGGAAAGAGCCATGCATGTTATATACCCATTTATTAGATAGACCCAATTGATTTTCGAAGAGTAAAAGCCCCCTTATGTCCCACAGCTCCTATCCTGTACAGACACAAATTCGGAACCAGCGGAATTCGACCAACAGCAGGTTGGAGTAGAGCTAAGCTCATGACTGCCGACAATCCGGGTACCGATACCCCGGTACAAGTGCAACTAGTACCGACATATCCGCGGTGCACGTGCAAAAAAGAAAAAAGCTTGTGTCGGACGCGTATATCTTTAAATGATCACCCCCCCAGTAACAACGGTTACGGGCGGTGCCGTCGAGTGATATTTGCGAATCGCGTGAAAATGATTGAATAGATGTTGAGCAGGGGGCATAGCGGCGTTTTCCGAACCCAAGGCAACTAGCTAGCAGAAGCCCTGTTGGGAAGATTGTCGGAGTTTTGCGTTTGTTCTGGACAGTGGTATGCCTGTTTCAAAATAGGCGCAGGTATCGTAGTTGTTCGAGAGCTTTGCAATTTGGTTTGGAATTAGGGTGCTGGTGGAAGACGGTGATCTGGCTACCTGGCGGTTCCTTACGTATACCAGTGTAACAGCATACATGGTGCTCAGTACATGCATGCTTCTAATTAAGGTCTCCCGACTCCCAGTTTCCCACCCAGTATGTATCTGCGAGCTTGTAAATCTGTCAATAGAGATGTTAGACCAGGACCGTCTCTATCTCAATCCCAATATTAGATATCGCGAGGCCACGAATCCCTCCTTCATATCGTTGGGAGTATGTACCTACTTGTACATGTCTCAGGTCCGTGCTCAGTATGCTCCTAATTAAAGTCTCCCCCGACATCCAGGCAGCTTCCCAGTTCCCCAGTGCCCGTAAGCTTGTAAATTCGTCAATGTAGCTCTCGGACCAGGACCGTCTAAGTATATCCCAACATTAGATCTCCACAGCTGCAGATCTAGTAGACAGGCCGCGACAACCAAAACATCCTTCATGTCGTTGGACGTAGGTACATACCTACTTGTACCTATAGTTATGTCTCAGATCCCCATAAAAGCAAAAAAGCTTGTTCCTCCACAAAGCGCATAGAGTGGTACGTACCACCTGCATTGCAAAGCTTATTCCCCTCGTCCCACCATATATCGATAGGCGTATATATGGAGAAGATCGGGCAGCTAAACAGAGCCACATATAGCTCTCGGATCTTTTTAGTCTGATGCTCGTGTGCTTTGATTGGGGAGATACGAAGACGTACGTAGGCCTCCCCCCCCTCCCCCACGAACGAAGCAGGTACGGTAGGGCCATATTTCCCGCATGAAAAACCATTGACAGTACCTACTCTAGCTAGCTAGCTACCTAGCTGTCTGTAGTCAGCAGTCAGCTGCAAGACAGGGCAACGTAAGAGTGCGCTCGCCGCAAATCACCAATACGGCAATATCTCTCCTGATCAGCTTCCGAAACGTCTCGGAGTCGTTTCCGAGCGCCAACAATAGGCTTTCTTGGTTCTCACTCAAACGCAAGGTGGAAGCTCCCTAATCGGGGAAGGCGCGATGGAGCAGCACGCCAACGCCAGCATCCCTGCAGTGTGCAAGCGCAGGGTCCTCGCTAGTTGCGCAGCGGAGCCCTAACCACGGATGGTCTTAAGGGAAGCTATGGAACGCCCGGAGGATAAGTATCGTGGGCCCAGACAGACACACGGAGCAGCAGCAGAAAGAAGAAGAAGAGAGCAACATATCTACAATCGAGGAATCCGGTGGCAGCGAAAAACTTTACTACATTACGGAGCGCTCTCGCTTGTTTGTGCTTCTAGCTTTTAGCTTTTTAGCCTTTGCTTCTAGAAGCGGGATCGGCAGGGGTTTTATGTGGTGGAGGCAGCGAGCGAGCGGAACCTACACCTCGTGCCTGCTACTGCTCCGACTATGACAGCCTGACTTCACTTCCATTCAAAGTCTTTGAGGAAACACTTCTGGTAGATATCCGACTTTCTATTTCCTCCATATCTTGAATCTTACCCAAGCACCACCCCCTCTCTCCCCGCAATTGCGCCGGATGATGACCTCACTTCTATGCTTTGCTTTTTGGGGGGACAGCAACGAACTGAATGCTAACACGGATGGAATGGACGCGAAGCTGCCGTAAGCTAGCCAGCTCAGCTTAGGCTGTTTATTATTCAACCCACCCGCCGATAGCTCCATATATATATATATATATGCCCTACGCCCCCGTCCGTTTCTCTATCCATCGACTATCCACTCCCACCCATCCCAACACCACCTCCAGAAGCCACCATGGACACCCCACCCCCACCCCCATCCCCACCCCCCACGGGCACCAGCGTCCCCAACCCACCACCCTCCTACCCCGCCGACACCAAGCACCCGCACCCACCCCCGCCAAGGCCACCATCCACAGACTCCTCTGCCCCATGGCGCTACTACCTCACTAGTCTCGCCGCCTCCCTCTTCCTCCTCTACCTCGTCCTCCCGCCCACCGTCACCAACACCGCCAGCGCCCTCCTGCCCTCCCCAGAGCCCTACTTCTCCGCAGACCGCTTCCTCGCCTCGCGCCTCGGCTACAAGCTCGTCGCCGACGTCCCGCGCGCGCTGGTCCCCGGCGGGAAGGGCGTTAAGCGCGGTGGTGAGGGGCGCGGGAGGGTCATTATCATCGGGGATGTGCATGGGATGTTTCATGAGTGTATGTTTAGTTTAATCCATCCCATTATCTATCTGACCCGCCGGCCGGCCCGGGGGGGGGGGGGGAACAGCAGCTGACAAAATGAGTGAACAGTGGTAAAGCTCCTCGAAAAGACAAACTACGACCCCGAGAACGACTACCTCGTCTTCTCCGGCGACATGATCTCCAAGGGGCCCGACTCCCTCAAGGTCCTCGACCTCGCACGAAGCTACTCAGCGGGCTGCGTGCGCGGCAACCACGAAGACCGCGTTCTCCTCCACTGGCACGACCTTCAAAAGAAGAAGCGCAAGGGCCGCAAGGGCGGGCGCCACAACGGCAAACACCCGCGCACCGCCGCCGCCAGCATCGACGACCTAGAGCTCGACCCCGAGGAAGACGACGAGGAAGAGGAGACCGTCGAGGTCGCCGACGACGCAGACGACGAGTTCACGACGGAGCGCATCAGGAACGAGCGGAAGCTGGCAAAGAGCTTGAGCCGGAAGCAGGCGGCATGGCTGGACGCGTGCCCGCTGGTGCTAAGGATGAAGAAGGTTGCGGATCTGGGGCAGGTGGATGTGGTGCATGCGGGGCTTGTGCATGGCGTGCACCTGGAGGACCAGGACCCGAAGGCGATCATGAATATGCGCAGCTTGGATAAGAGGCGGCTGACGCCGCTGCCGGAGGGGGAGAGGGATGGCGTGCATTGGGCGGATGTGTGGAATCGGGGGGAGAAGGAGAGGAGGAAGGGGGATGGGGAGGGGCCTACGACTGTTGTGTAAGTTTTATCTTTCTTTTCGGTGTGGAGTTGAGGGAGGGGAGCTAATAGGGATGGTGGGTGTAGGTATGGGCATTATGCGGCGAAGGGATTGGATATTAGAAAGTACTCGAAGGGCCTAGACTCGAACTGCGTGAGAGGAGGCAGGCTGAGTGCGTTTGTGATTGGGAAGAATAAGGAGGAGCTGGTGAGTGTGGGCTGTAGGACCTTTCTGAAGGATTAGGCTCCCGCATCCTTCTCACCCTCCTCCTTATCCTTCTCTTCATGAGTGTCTGTCTGTCTAACCTGTCTACCACCTTTCCTTTTCCTTTCCGTTTTCATTTCGTTTTCATTTCGTTGTTGTTGTTTTCTTTATATATTTTTCCTTATCTTATACACCCCCCCCACCAACCGCGATAGAGTGGAACATCCCCCATCCTCTTGAGTATTATTTCTTTTTCCCCCCTTACCCTTTCCACCCAATAGTTAGATGCTCCTAAGTCCTAAGCACTAGTCGAGAGAGTGTTTTCATTTTCACCGTCCTCTTTCTTAGTCCTCTTTTTTTTATACTTCTTCTTCCGCGGTTGTGGCTAGACAGTACAGTTCAGCCGTGGATCCTCGGCCGTAAAGGGCGTTCTTTTCTTTTTATATTAGTATTAGTTTTTTTTATTTGGTTTGGGTCTGAGTATGGGTTGGGTTGGTGGGATTGGGAGAGCTAGGTACATACGCCTTGGTGGGGTGAGGTGAGGGTGAGGGTGAGGGTTGTTTTGACATGTGCGGATCTAAGAGATCTAGATAGAACCGGGAATGATCAATAAGTACGCATCTGAGTGATCGATGAGTGAGTGTCGCAGTGAAACCAAACGCCGTGACGTTGATGAGGTGAGATTAAGGTTTCCGTTAGTTAGTGTTGGTGTGACAGCCGGACAGGTGGTAAGGTGGCAATGACAGCGGGACCCGGGTGGGTGGGAGTGATACAGATATTAGGGTAACGGCGACCGGCGTGCGGTTTTATACCTATTTACTACATAGTACTCGTACAGACATACATGTAGGTCAGGCGGGTATGGGAAGCAACGGATGGTGGGACCGTCCCCTATCTCATTTATATCCGGTATAACTACGAGGAAGGGGTTACAAGTACGAAATCTCCAAAATCGAAAATCTAGTCCAAATTCTTCCAAAATCCAAATCCAAAACCCAAAACCCCAGAACCCCAAAACTCCAAAACCCAAAACCCAACCCCTCCCACACATGCCAAAATAGCCCATACACCGTCAATATCTCTTCAACTTACTCGTCCACTGTCTCGGCGGCGGCTCAAACGAAAACACCGCCCCCTTCTCCCACACCGACCGCCCCAGCTCCAGGTCCGCAGCACCAACACTGGGCCGGCGGCGATCGGCCCTCGCCGGCTTCCGCCGCAGGTTGATCCTTGGCGCCTTTGCCAGCAGCCATAGTTTTTTGGCGGCGGTGGAGCGGTCGAAGTCGACGAGCCATTGGTCGAGCTGGAAGTAGTGTTCCTATTGTAAGCTAATCTATTTTTGAGACATGAGGATGGGAGGTGGCGGACCGGAATAAACTTCATTAGGATCCAGCAGAAGATGACGAAGACGAAGAGGGAGCCGCCAATCACAAAGGCCCACCACCACTCTGGGTTGTTTTCGAGGATGTTTATGTTCATCCCGAATAGTGACTGGGTTGGTCATGATGGTTAGCGGTCTTGTATATCATGGGGGGTTGCCGGTGGCACGGGGGATTGGCTGCAACTTACCGCGACAAACATTAGTGGGAGGAAGATAAACTGGAGGTATTTAGTATCTCTACTTGTGGCACTAGGTTTGTGTTCAGACATACCGTAATCCAGCTCAGACGTTTCATACTCATACCCATTAATTTTGAAGTCCGGGCCTCATATATAGAGACTAGATTGAACTCCTTAAAAGAATATCAGAAGATTGGTCACTACATAGTTGATTACCTCCAAAAGGCAGTATAAATCACTTACAAGTTCTATCAGCTCACTTGTCTTTTGATCAAGCTTTGTAATCTCCTCTGATACCTCAGTCTCCATCCTATCGATGATTCTTGCTAACTCGTCCAGAGCATACACCTTCTCTTCATCATTTGCTCTCGCCTGATTACTTGTAACGCCATTCCTAGGACCAGCGCCACCACTCCTCAATGGCGCAGAGGACCCGCTCTCTGCTGGCACGATTTCACCTCTTTGTACTTTCAGCAGCTCGGATTCCCTCACTTCGTCACATAGAAACCTTTTCTCTCGAAAGTCTTGTAATAGATTTCTAGCAGTCCGCACATGGAGTTGCAACAGAGCTCTAAAGTTGCTCCACTGCTGCGCATCAATCAAAAGATTATCGATAAAATCTTCGGTTCTGCCCTTGTTCAGCAGCAGGGTTTTGCGCTGCGGTGATACGAGTTACTACAGGCTGAATTTATGAGACGCAGGAAAGATGAAAAATACACTTACACTGTTTGATAGATGTAGCTCTGCCTGCTCAAATATATGTCTCCACTTATCGTGCAAATCAATAAAAAATAAGATGAAGAAGTCCACCCCATGGTCAGGGATCCAACCAATATCAATGGTGCTCCGGTAGTCGATTGTCTGAAATATAGGGCTAGTTTTTGTTTCAATAGGACTATCTGCATCAGGTATAGTTTCAGGCTTTAGCATCGTCCAGGAAACCTCGCTTCCTCTGGTTGTTGTCTGGAATGACTTCCCTACTCTGAGGGCATTTGGGCCGGAAGCCTTTTCATTTTCAGAATCTGGGATATGAACCAAGACCTCGAAGCAGACGTGGCAGGTCACAATCACTGTCAAGCTGATGAGAAATTCTACTTTTGTGATAAAATAAACAGATGAATATAATGTTCATACCTTGTCTATCGACTGCAGAGAATAATTTCCCTACGCCGGGCAGGTTCACTCCAGACTGGTTTCTCTCCGAATTTGGAAATATCCAAGACCAACTCCATTTTATCATCGTGGAATTTGTCCCAGGCATTCTCTTGATTCCAAGCATTTCGACACTTGGGAAAAACTTGAAACGATCAACGAGGGAACCCGTCTGGATGGGTCCCAGCCCAGCTCCAACAGTTGAACTTGTATCAGTAGCAGAACTAGCGCCCTGATTGTCAGCGATTAAATAAGGTTTGAGATAAGAAACCACGCACTATAATCTTCTCTTGATTTTTGAGCCACGACTGGGCAGCTCGAGCGAATAGTCAGTGACAAAATCGATATCGCAACACCGCTTATTGTCGACATGATATTCACTTATTAAGATACTATTATTCTCGTTCAAATCCAGCAGCCGTCGCCAGTTACTCACAGTACGACCCTTGATACTGCAGCCCTTATCGAATAGCGGCCTTGCTAATTTTATAGATGGATTTCCCGAGTCTTGAAGAATCAAGTCCAATGGAGTCTGGTACTCATAGTTTCGAGGTTCGGTATTTGCCCCATTTTCGAGTAGCAAAACTAGGGATTCCGCATTCTGAAACCTCACAGCACAGTGCAGTGGGGTGTCCCCGTCAAAGTCTTGAGCGTGGACGTCCGCACCGTGTCTCAATAATACTCGTACAACGTCAGGATGGCGAAGGTTCCAATGCAAACAAGTACCGCCTTCTGAGTCTTTGGATCTAACATCAAAACCGGCGCTAAGGATAAGCTCTACAACATCTACGTGCCCAGCCTCTGCCGCCGCTCGGATTGCCACCTTGCCAGACACCTCCTCATTATAATCAAAGCCGTGCTTTAACAAAATCTCTACTACTTCGTGGTGGCCTTTCCTAGCTGCTATCCATAGTGGCTTTTTTCCAAAAGATAGCGCTTGTGAATAAAGGTTCCGACCTGACATTGTAGAAAGTAGCTGTTTGGCTATTTCAGCATATCCGCCTGCTGTAGCAGCTTGCAACGCGGTTCGTCCGTGAAATTTTGCTGGGGGGAAGTTGACTTCAGCACCAGCTTTTAACAAAATCGAAACTGTTTTAGAGTACCCATTTTCGGCAGCTGCCTGTAATGCAGTTCTTCCATAGTTATCTGATGGGGTGGCATTAACTTTAGCACCAGCTTCCAAGAGACCTGAAACAATTTCATCATGACCCCTTCCAGCTGCAGCTTGCAAAGCTGTCATACCATCGTATTCCGATGGTGGTGCATTAACGATATCCACACCACCCGGTATTCTGGCCCATGGAATCGTGGGGTTTAAGGTCATTGATATGATATGTGCGTGACCATTTTCTGCCGCTGCCTGTATTACTGTTCTGCCGTGGCTTTCCGATGGGGGGGCGTTCAGAAGTGCACCAGCTTTTTTCAATAAAAGAAGTATTTCAACATTGCCGTTTGCAGCTGCTGCTTGTAAAGCTGTTCTCCCGTATGATCTCGAGGGGGGATCATTGACATTTGCACCGACCTTCAGCAACATCGACACTACTTTCAAGTGTCCACGTTCGGCCGCTGCCTGTAATGCTGTTCTTCCATGATAACCAACTGCTGGAGAGTTGACTTTGGCGCCTGATTTCAACAACACCGAGACTATCTCGGCGTGCCCATTTCCCGCTGCAGCCTGTAATGCAGTTCGCCCAAACGAGTTCTTCGCTGGTAGGGCGTTAACATCGGCTTTGGCTTCCAGTAGCATTAATACAATCTTTAATTGCCCGCCATCCGCCGCCGCTTGCAATGCTGTTCTTCCGTGAAGAATAGACGGGTAGGCATTCACTTTTCCGCCAGCCCTCAAAATCATAGAAACCACCTCCACATTTCCACTCTCTGCAGCCGCCTGTAAGGCTGTTCTTCCACGATGAATTGCTGGCGGGTCGTTCACATTGGCGCCTCTTTCCAATAACTCTGAAACTATCCTAGTATGCCCATTCCCAGCCGCTGCCTGTAATGCTGTTCTTCCTGACTGGCCTTGTGGGGGTGCATTTATATGTGCGCCTCTCTCTATCAGGAGCGAAAGTACCCGGGTATGGCCGCCTTCTGCTGCTGCTTGCAGCGCCGTTCGTCCACATGCTATCCGCCTACACGCTGCGGCTTTCCCGCATTCGTCCTGTTCATACACCTCGGTCATCTTATCTTCTATGTTCCTGCCGCACTTTGCTGGTGGAGCGTTGACATCTGCATGTAGTTTAAGGAGCATCTCAACAGATCCCTCGTTCCCAGCACGGCACACTTCAGGGAGCGCTTCAGTTGCATATAACTTTCGAATCGCTTTGTTGTCCTGCCCCAGAAGAATCCCTATCAAGATATCCCATTCACCGAGCCTGGCTGCCTCCAAATAACTCATTGGAGGTGCTGAAGATCTATCCGCTTGAATGCCCCAGCTGTTGGCGGGGGTGACAAATGGGGTATTGGGCGGGTCCATTGAGTTGGCAGTATCGCTTTCGAGCGAGATTGAAGGTTTTTTGGAAGACGCCATGCTTTCAGTGTGTATCTAGAACTGACGACATTAAGAACTGACGAAATAGAAGTTAAAGGCAGTATTCAAGGGCTTATGTATTCGCGTTGACCCCTTATGGTAGTTGTGCGACAGGGATTAACTAATACACAAATGCGCCAGACTAACATTTATGACATGTACTCAGAAAAATGTACTCTATGCAGGTGTATGTATGTGTGTTAAAAATAAGGATAAGTAACCAGTCGTCTAAAGCCATAACCCTCAAATCAGTTCATGATATTCTATAATACTACCTACTTCAAGTAGGTCAACTAATTTGCACCAGTTTAAAACCTTTGAGGCCAATCAATTGCCAGTACCTACTCGTATGTACTCGCCACAGAATATATATCCTTGAAATAGAGACTGTGTAGCAGCTAAAACATGCATATGATATTAACGATCTGTAATACTTCGATTTGGTTTCCGAAGTTTCTTTAGTGGTAACATATCAATTAAACCGGTGCTGGACATGTGGTCTATTACTGTTAGGTTATTTTAGTTCCCCAGGCTTGTCTTCACGGTCGATTTATGTCTTTAAATAAGTACATAACGTAAATAAATAAAGTTATGAAGTTCCAAGTGTAGCTATTCGAGTGATAGATTATGATTACGTAGAGTGATAAGAGGAGCTTGAGACAATCAAAAGTTGGCAGCCAAACTATAATCACGCTAACACTACACTTCGTAATCAAAAAAATAAAAGCTGGGGTTTTTTATTTTCAAAGCGGAGAGCAACCGAAACAGATAAACAAGCTAGGGACAACTCCCAAGAATTACAGGAAGGAAGAACTGAAGACACAGCTCAAGAAAAACTACTCAAGCAGCAAACGAGGGGAAAAGATTAACATAAAACAAAACCCAATCCTAATACTCCACCCTGCTTATTTCCTATTTCCCAGTAAATGAATTTACGAACTTCTTGGTGCAACCTCTTCATGCCATGTCCTTGAGCCAAACAGTCAGTGATAACTTACGTGTTTTCTGAAGTATACTGCAGCTTCTCGGTCCTTGTTTAGTTATCGCTTGAAGAGTTGAGGATGCGGAGAATACTGTAATTGAAACATGCCGTCAGCACCAAAGGAATCACAGCCATATCACGATATAAGAAACCGGGGGTATACGTACGCTAAGAACAGGTTGATGATGTCCAGATACAAACTGATCGCCGCAGAGATCTCCTCGTCCGCATGTACCCGTCTAAGGATCAACTGAGTATCCACCAAGATATACGCGCTGAATAGCAACGCCGCAGCGCCACTATAGGCCAGTTCAACCCATCCGTTATGAGGGAAGAAGATAGAGACGAATCCGAATAAGATCAAGAACCAAAGACCCCCATAGAGGTAGGTGTACCAACTGCTGAAGTCGTACTTGGTCTGGAACGCGAACAGGGTGAGACCTGCGAATAGCGCGCCGGTGATGATGACTGCTTCGAGGACGATGCGGCTATCGTAGAAGCTGGTGACGACGGCGATAGTGTAGGCTTCCACGAGAGTGAACCCAGAGAGGAAGATAAGGTTTGTCGGGTAGCTCTTTCTCTTCCAGAAGGTCGCTAAGAGAAGCCCGAAGGAACCGAGCATGGCGATGAAAAGCATCCATGTGTTTGTCTGGATCCACCCTTTGAAAGACTCGTTGAAGAAGGAGATTGAGCTAAATACAGCAGTGGCAACGAGCTGGACTGTTAAGATTGCGTAGACTTTACGGACAAAGGCGTGGCGGATATCGATGGTCGCTTCCGCGACTGAGGTAGAGTATTTGAAGTCGTCAGGAATCTAAAGGAAGCTTTAGTATACGATAGCTTTTAACAGAGACATCTGAGGGGCGGACATTATCTTCACTGGTACGGGGTGACCCAAGAAGAGGTGACTGATCGCCACCATAAGCTGGAGGAGGGCGGGTGTAATGCACAGCAGCAGTCCCGTAGGCGGCTGATTGAGAGGAGGCGCTTGGATGAGCCATGCTGTTGAAATGAGAATAGGAGTTCGGTTACTGAAGTTGAGGGAAGTGTGCAGTGAAGGTGAATGAGTCGGTGTGAAGAAGGCGAAGACGTCAGCGATGAGATGTAGCGTGATTTTGCTGCGGTCACGAGATCCGCGATGCATATGGGTGTGGACCTTGTATTTAACACCCAGCCCCAGCGAACATTCTAGCGAAGTGGATACAGAAAACTTTATAGTTGATTTTTTCTCCGCAAACTTTTTTTTCTCGACAACCATTTACTCTACTTAAAGCTCAACAAACCATAAGTTTGGCCTGGCGCTGTCAACAATTGTCGTGTGTTGGTACTTGTATCTATTATTGTCAACATGCAGTCCCGAAATACCATGGTATTAAAACTATGCTCCATCCGATGTACCTACATTGATAGAGCACCTTCATCATATGTCACTCGATATATGGATAGAATTACGAAATGTCCTTGAGTAACTGCTGCCAACTCAGCTCACTTTATTATTTTCCACTTTTTCATCTTTACGATGCAGAAGCGGGCTACGAGGAGAATACGGAGTGGTATGAAGCGACTTTATAGAAGTAAGCTTAGAGGTTTAAGCTCTTCCGCTTATCGACGTCTAGCTTGGAAGTAGATGCATCATCCCTTCGTCTGGCGAAAAATGCTGCCCACCTAATAAAAGCAAATCTTTGTGTGGCTTTATTAACAGATCCTGTACATGTCATCTCTCTTATCAAATAATAGATCTCGCATGCAAATCTAATTCCTCTATTATAGGGGGGTCAGCATCGACAGCTTAAGGGATAGCGCTCTACCGTCAAAACGAACGAAGGGGTAGGAATTGCAGGAATTTCTATTCAGTCGGACCATCAATATAATGCTAGAATGATTCCAAACGCCACACCAAAAAAACTCCCAAAACTTCCACATACATATTTCACCAACACTTCTCGTAGATGATAATGCATCGGAGGATATAGAATCAATGGGAGAATCCAAATCAAATCCTGTATTCAAAAAAATCATTATTAGTGGCCGGGTGGTGTAGGGTTGTTGAGATTCAGCATCTTGGCAGGCCAATTAATTCCGTGTGTCCCTCAACTTCCAGATTTGCAATAACAGACACAATTCAAAATTATAGGGCCAAAGTCTGAAAATATGTAATATAGACATTTAATAACATAGTATTAGTTTCAAGATCTATCTATCGGTGGTGGTGCCAGCTGCAAAAATAAAAAATGTGTGTTTTGGGCGTTGTCCCGTGATTTTTGAACTGGAACTAGTTATATTTAAAATTGCGGGTTCTGCGGCCACTCGAAAAGCCGTTTTTTGCTTTGCGACGGTACTGTACGGTCTAGAGTTAAACAGTGATGCTGCTTCACGCGTGTATAGTAACAGAGGTAAGATCCTTGGCGCCAAGTGATTTGATTGGGCTGCCTCACTGTCAGTGCTGGTAGATTCACTGTGGGGTGTAGATACTGTCACATAGAGGTGAACTGCCCTGTTAAAGAGGTGTACTGTCGGTACTGTCGTTCACGGGGTATTGACCGTGTTGACGGACAGGGGCTTTTTGACCAATAATCGAGGTAAAACTGGGCTTGGCTGTCTCTTTTGGCTTGTCCGTCAACACCCAGTGTCCGTCAATACCCGTGAACGACAGTACATACCTGTTAAGTAGTCATCTGGTGGTGGAGGTGGTTGAATATTTTTGATATGGTAGTAATTTAGCGTAGTTGTAATTTATTGTCCACAACAGTTGGGTCTAGAGTAGAGTACATACAATAGTATCTTCCCGGGCTTTTTGCATAGCAACCGGTTTTTTTCGGGGTTTAAGGTAGCAACCGGGGTTTTGGTAGAGCCACGGGACAAAAGTCGGGGGTTTTAGCGTCAAAGTCGGGGTGATTAGCGTAAAAAGTCGGAGTTCTTCATGCACACCAGACCCGGGGTCGTGCAGTCTTGGCGAAACTGTGTTCGGACACGGCTCAGCGGCTCCGTGGCTGGACCGGGTCAGGCATACCTGTAACCTGCTTAAAACCAGGCTTTGTCTCGTAGTCAATCAACCATCTCTCATCCTACCATAACTCATCAAGATCTGGTCACGAACACGAACAGCCTGAAACCGGTATGAAAATATTCAACCACAAATATTACAGGGCTATACCGGATTAGGTCTAGGAACGAGACTACTAGATTAACGATTTTTCGAAACTCTCTGGTATCTGATTGGTCGAGAACTGTAACCCCTAACCCTCACTGACTCCTGCATGGCAACCAGCCCACCCCACCAAAATCTATGAGCTCTAAAGCGCATAATAAAATTCAAAATGGCCTATGCAAATATAATATAGAGTAGTGAATTTTTATTGAACTATTTATAGGGAGTAGCGGGAGGTGGAGGGGGGGGGGTGGGGTGAATATAGGTGGAGGTGGAGGGCAGCGGGGGGTGGAGGAGGTGGAGGAGGTGGAGGGCGGAGGGTGAGGTGGAGGGCATTGGAGGAGGGAGGTGGAGGCATCAGGGGGTGGAGGGAGTTTTTTTGGGGGGGGGTGGAAAGAGTCCCCTCAATCGAATACCTTCGATACCCAACAACTCGCGGTCGCGAGGTGGCACACCTCTAGTGAGCTGTACTACTTATATCGCCATACTGTTAGGCTAGGGGTGTATTCAATGGTCATGCTAGATCACAACCACCAAACATCACATATCACAAACACCCTTTACTTTTTCTTAACAATACCAAACAATACCCAAAACATACCAAAATCACCAAAGACATATCACAATCACCGAACAACAGAACGATAACCTCCCGCATAACCTTTCTTTTTAGCTGACTCGCCCTATTCAATAGCTCAAGGAAAAGAAAACATCCTTATATTATAAAATACACATTGCATACTCAGTATAGCTATATACTAACTAGATGTACAGCGAGAGGTAGAATTATTGTAGTTTAGGTGGCTGACTCGGCCGATAGGGCTCTTCCCATACTTCTACAGGAGAGACTTTAATGGTCTTTTTGACCGCGAAAGGTGCTAAGGGGACCTTGGCCTGTATATACTCGTAAATAATAATAAGAACCAGTAATCTATATATTTGCAATTGAGGGCGTATTCTTAGGCACGGCATTCAAAATGTGTTCATTAGTTCTAACAAGGCTGAGCTGGCCATGAGGTCCATTTAGTGCTAACAAGGCTGAACTGACCAGGAGGTCTACCTAGTGCTAACAAGGCTAAACTGACTAGGAGGTCCATTCGGTGCTAACAAGGCTGAACTGACCAGGAGGTCTACCTAGTGCTAACAAGGCTGAGCCGGCCATGAGGTCCATTTTCTGTGGGGTCAAAAAGTTAGGCATCGATCCTTTGATGATCAAGGCTGCATGAGATCTAGAGTAATTATCATTTTATGACCATCACCCGTAACGACCGGACCTAAATTACAGGCAGTTCAGTGGTGAACATGTTATAATTCCCTAACCCCGGCCGGTGAACCTCTGTGCGTGGAGTCCCATATTGTGTACGTACATGCAGCTAGGTAGATTTCCTGAACATCTTGGTCACCACACCGTCGTGTACGTACATGTTGACCCCAAGGTAGTCTCGTGCCCAGCCTGTGGTGTGATTCTCCATCTCTGTTTTATCTGGCGGGCTTACGCTGCAAGTCCAGCTTCATCTCGCGCTCGATCTCCACCACTGTAGTCTGCAGAACGAGGAACGAGTTGACAAAACTCTGGGCAGTACGAGACTAACACCCACAGCAATACTACAACTCTCTAGCTCTAGTGACATGTAGAGTCTTCATTCTTCTTTATTTCATTATCCTTACCGGCCGAAATGCCTGCCTGGACATTAACTTGATAATTGTTAGTAGGGGGCCGGCAGGATATTCGAATTTTGGGACAACGATCCTCTAGTATGATCTTTTAGTTAGGCAAGTAACGATTTTACACGACAGGATAATCCAAAAAGTAATTTGTAGAGCGGAAAAGTTGCTTTTTGGAAAATTAAAAGCCATGTACCGGTTAGGTTTGAGGTGATGATATACTTACGGTACATAGCAATTAATCCAATACGTCATAATAGACGGGAAATAAAAAGCACATATATTTATGTAACGCCTGGCAGCCCCCTTACTTCAGTCAATTTGTTGACCTTTCTTGACCTATGTATTTCCCAAGACTGATATTCATGCGTTGGCCCCTTATCACGCATCTCTCGGGTAACGTTGGAAAAAGTTTGGTAATAGAGGGTTTTAGGCGCTACAGAAACTTGGTTGGCCACTGGTGTGCGGTCAACGCCCAAATGAGCTACATACATGTATCTGCGTGGTATCTGATAACTCCAGCGTATTCGGGAGTGATATCTGATAACTCCAGCGTATTTGGAAGTGTAGGACTAACCCTAACCCTCTGGCACAAATGTGCGTAATGAAGGTGCGCATTTTCTGCCTGCGAAGTAATATGCGAACCACGAAGTACCCCGTTTATAAAAACAGTCGATCAACCGCACTAAAAGTTTGACACAATACTATCATCATCGATATATCTCTAAGACCCACAAGTATCAACGACTAGTTTTAAAGTTCCAACTCACCCGCTCGTCTTTATTCAGGACTTGTGATCCCTTCGTGGCTCATCATACAAAACTCAGAGGCTGGAAGGGTCAATATATCCGGCGATACCACAGTACTGATCGAAATTGTCCCTTCGGCAAAAGGTTGTGAATAGTGGGTATAGACGAAGGGATAGTTACAGCAGCAGCATTTAAGGCCTCGCCTGTAATTAAAGTCGGCCGTATCTTTTAGCACTGAAGATTTTTATAACCTTCAAAATGTTTTCCAAATCAATAGAGAGCTTGAGCCCAGATGCACGTACACAGCGGTTAACGACGAATCCTTCCCAAACAGCCACACTCATCACCTCCATACCAGCCACACCCACTGCCATCACACCAGCCACTATAAATCATTGGCCTACAGGTGACGATGGCTACAGCCTCCAGAGGTTTCTTGCTGCCCGTCCAGATGAGGATGCAAACGTAATTTTCGCAAGAAGAGCTGTTAGGGAGCGCTTCCCGGGAAATACCCAAGCTCCTATTAACGAGTCGACTCAGGAGATCCCCTTGCAGCCATACGCATCAGCCACCTGGATGCACGCAAATTCCGTTGATGTGCAGCCACAGCATGCGCAAGCCCTCGAGACTTCTCGGTTCCAAGCTACCGGGGCAGGTATCAGCCCTACGCACATGAGGGATCTCACTGCAGCCACACACACACCCCGCTTGGAACCAGAAATACAAAGCTTGGGTTTCAGTATGAGAAACTTCCTTGCAACCGATCCAGTCGATGATGCCAATGCCTCATATGGAAAGATCGCCTTAAACGAAAACCCCGGAAATTATTGCCCACTCACGCAAATTCTCGAAGACTTCGAAGACGTGATGGGCTCTGATGAAAAGGTGGGCTGTGAGAGGATGAGTTGTGAGGAGGAGGAGGGTGGGTGTTAGGGGTGCGGGATTCGTAGGGTAAGTTTAATCTATTCGAAACACGATCTTTCTTACTAATTGTTCCTAAATAAGCTACTGCCCTACGACAAAAGTGATCCGCAGCACAAAGATGCTGTGACTTTTTGGCTGGACCAGTTGAGGGTGAGTACCTAACCGCGTTGCCGCCACGTAACCGACCTCTGACCCAGTCACACTATGTACAGTTTCCGGTAGAATTATTGCAATAATTCTACCGGAAACTGTAGATAGTATCACGAAAAACGAGACTCTGGGGCAAACCCAATAAATACCCATTTTCTATTCTTCTCGTGCTCTTAAGCGCTTATCATACATTTGTTCATTTTGGACCTAAAAGCTAACGGAGCAACAAAAACTCCTGAAGTACAGCTAGACATTAGTTCACTATTTACGGAAAGATTGGAGATTTTGTTTTCCTTTTTATGGACTTGATTTTTGCACGCAAATCTACATTCTTTAAGCACAATAAATTATTTACTGGACCGGCGATCAATGACGAGCAAATTTTATTACCCTAGCAACCGTTGAACAACACAACAGCATACAAAGCTCCCCCAAACCCACCCCACTACATGCAAACAATACGCCCCACCTACCCCTTATATCAATAGCACTCGTCCCATTTACCGAGGACCCCGTAAACTCCCTGATTATTCCACCTCATTAAACAAATAACATGAGCCGCCTTCCCTTGAGATTTGCAGCATTGATCGGTGTGCCCTTGCCCTGCTCGAATTGCCAGAGCATAGCTAGCTAATCCAGTATAACCCTAGTGTGCTTCTTCACGTTCCTACTATTCTACTCCGGCTGGGTGATACAACAGCGCTCACTGAAAGCCCTTCAGCTCGCCATCAATCCCCACTATGTAAAAAATGAACAATCATCGCAAAAGTCTAGTTTTAGGACCCAGACAGATGGTACTGCAAAATCGGCATGGATATTAGGCAATAAAGGCAATGAACGGAGGCTGGCATATGTCCAATATGTATCCTCGAAAGACGAGCTATGCAACTCTGTAATGATCCTGGCAGAGCTGCATAGGCTTGGGACCGTGGCAGATAAGATGTTGGTATACCCACACTCCTGGATTGCGGATGAGAAGGGGAGATGGAACCGATTGTTGAAGGTCGCAGAGCAGCGGTATGGGGTGGTTGTTAAGGCAGTAGAGCCCTTGATTGAAGGTATGCTCCGCGCACCGTGTTCTTGCATGGTAAGGAGCAAAGGCTAATCGTAATGGTAGCTGAAAATACACCGGCAGTATCACTGCTGCATGCGTTTTCACAAAAAGAATACAGTCGTATCCTACACCTCGATTCTAGAGGCATGGTGCTACGCAATCTCGACGAGCTGCTTTTCAATGCGCCCTCTGCACTCATTGGTGGAGTCAGATCGTACAACGAGGCCACCGGGAACTCACTCTCCGACCATCTACTCCTCATCGAGCCCTCTGAGCACGCGCTCAACGTAGTGAAATCAACATTAACCAAAAACCCTTCAATGGCCCCGATAGATATCATTAATACCCTCTACGCCCCATATGCCCTAATACTTCCACAACACCCTTACAATACCATCATCTCCGAGTTTCGTGCAGTTGAACATGAGAGATATATACCAGAGAGCTGGAGCCCGAGTAAGGTGCGGGACGAGAGCTACTACGTGAACTTTGAAGACGATGAGGCGCCGGGGCCGTGGTATGCTATGCCACGGAGTCTGGTAGATAAGATCAGGCCGAAGAGAAAAGAAGAGGAGAGTGTGTGGAGGGAGCTGTATGAGACTTGGGCTAGGAGGCGGATGGATGTGTGCGGACTAGACTTAGAGCCGTTGCCTTTGGGTACATTTTAGCCGTGTTGTTATTTGTTAGCATTTTGAGGAGTTGGGGATTTTTTTTCTTTCTCTTATAGATCTAAGTTTCTTTATCTCGTTTGCTGGGGGACTTTGGTTTCTGTCGACTCATATTTCCATTGAATCTTAATAGCATCGTATAATCGATCTCGTTTGTGGAAATGGCTCAAGCTTTTACTCCTTTGAGATATCTGACCCCGCCCACGAGCAAGTTGGTTGAACAAGAGGTAAAGACCACGACCGCACCTTTCAGCGCCTGGTCAGATAATCCATAGCTAATCGGTATTGCAAATACGTATACTGGTCAGCAGTAATACGGCCACAATGGCATGCAACCCCAAAGCAGTTTGAACCGATATCATTCAATCACACGCTTACATGTCCAACGAGTTCTGGTGCTTTATGGATCTCGCTCTTGTTTATTTACAGAAGGTGTATGAAATAGCCGGTTGTTTCCCACGGCCCAGAATTAACTAGAAGCACACGCCAAGATCAAACCATTAGATTAGCGCGAGATGAAGCGATGTTGAGTGATAGTTCATGAAGCTCTGTTGTTTTTTTGTTTTGTTTTTTTGTTTAATTCATTAAAGCTCTGTTGTACATATCTAGAGATTTGTGCATGCACCCCCATAACTACAAGTATGGCAGGTGTTCTCAATTTGACCTCTCACCCTTCCATCTCCCATCGACTCTTCTATACAAGGCACCTAAGTTGAGCTATGTAGCTGCGTTATATACAGTCAATTCCTAGCTAGAGCTTAAGGTGGAAAGTTAAGACGCCGTGGTGAATCAGTTCCCCTTGAGGGTCTGCTACATTACCACGCACTTTGTCATATACGTCATGGGCGCTCACAGAACTGATAGGTTGATAAGGCAAGGAAGGTCCAGTCCCCAAAACTCTCAAACCTGACATTTCAAAGTTAGCAGATGGTTTAGCACCATGTTCAAACGGGAACATTACCAACAGATATCTAGCAAGGAATCTAGGAGCAGTTATACGGTTCATCATGATCAAGGGCAATATTCTTGCTTAATTAATTCTCCGCCATTCCGTCTAAGCTGACTTGGAACCTATTGGTTCCCACAGGCGTTTCCGGTCTCCGCGCCGAAGAGCCATATTTGAGGTTCCTGGACTACAGATTGATGCAGGAGCCAGAATAGACATATCCTCATGCTTTAATGCTTACGAAAGTTACTCATGATATGCCGCGCAGGCCGGACGTGAGCGATATTCCAAAATCTCTCTGGATCATTTAGAGTCGATGGATATATACGTATATATGCATGTATATCATATATAACCGGCCTACGGAATAACCAGAAAAACATATCAACCCTGAGAAAGAACGCCAAAGCGCTCAATTCTTATGCATGGATGAAAAAATAAGGTGAATAACGTTTCGAGCTGCACCCATATTATAATGTCCAGAATCCCTAAATACAAGCAATGTCATCGCTAGAGAGGAGGACGTCTCATACCTACAGATCTCTTTCGTTTGTTTAAATCTTCAGGTACTTATGGCCACACATGATATCGTTCCAGCAGCTCATCCAAACCACCCAAAGCTACAGCGGTCTAACATGCTCTGACGTCTTCACCCACCCACCTACTCGCACGTCTCTTCATCCACACCGCAAAGCACCCAGAAGTCACACCACATGCACAAAGCACCTAGAAATCCTCACAACCCACATTCCTGCCAGCACCACACTCCCACCCCGCAATCTACTCTACACCCCGACTGCTACACCACCGGCCATAACCTAACAACCAACAACCCGCCCAAAATACAAATCATCCCGCATCACAACCCATCACTCGATATCCGCAGTCACCAACATGTGCAGATGCTGATGCTGACTAATCCATACCACGTGTTAGATTTTGTCGCACGGGTCACATACTTTATAGGTGCGTATTTATTCAGAGTATAAAAAAGACGAGACTGGAGGATGAAAGGAAAATAAAAGGAAGAAAGAAAGATAGCAAGGAAGAAAAAGAGTAAGTGTTTGGTTTGATTTGATTTGATTTTTGATTTTTGATTTTTGTCCGATTACCTATGCCTATAGAGACCCAACTATCCTGTACAATAAGAAACCCCCTCCCCACGTACCTACCTACAATTAATGTAGTGTCAATGATATCACATCCCGCCGTCCCTCGCCCCTCCCTCCTCCCGCCAGCCCCCCGCACCGCTCAAACCAACACAACAAAAAAAAAAAAAAAGCAACAACACAAAAAAACTTTATAAATGCACCCCAACACTACACCCTAACCCCGCCCTCTCCCACCTTATAAACACCCCACCAATACCCCGCCCTCACGACCCCCAAATCCCACGCCATCCTCAAACTATCCTGCACAAGCCTGACCTTACTGCCGCCGACCTCATGCCACGTGATGGGCACCTCGGCGACCGGAATCCCCTTGTACATGGCGAGAATGAGCATCTCGATGTCGAAAATCCACCCCTCGGTGTGCATGTACGGGAACACGGCCTTGAGCGCCGCGCGCGAGAGGAGCTTGAACCCGCATTGTGTGTCGCGGATGTGGCGGATGCCGAATGTGCGGATGAGCGTGTGGAAGGAGTGCATGAGGAAGTTGCGGATGAAGGAGCGCTGGTTTATGAGAAGTAGTTGTTAGCTATGGACCCGGGGGGTGGTAATGGGGGGAGACAAGACATACCTTGACGACCGCATCGGTGGTGACCATGTGTGCGCGGCTTCCCACCGCGATGCCGTAGCCCTTGACCTCCACCTTCTTAACATCCCTCAGCAGCGCCGCCAGGTCCGCAAAGCGACTTGCGCCATCTGCGTCCGCAAAGATTGCGTATTCACCCCTTACATACTTCATGCCGTGCGTGACGGCGCCGCCCTTACCTCTGTTCTTATCCAGCACACAGACACGAACCTGGTCCTCCTCAACATCGTGCTTCGAAGCCATGCGCTCGCCCGCCCAGTCCAGTGCCACCTTCGCCGTGCCGTCCGTGGACCCGTCGTCGACGATCAGGATCTCCCAGCTGTTCCCATGCGCGGCGTACAGGTGGTCGACGGCCTCTGCCAGCATCTCGGGGATGCGCTCGCTCTCGTTGTAGGCCGGGACCACCACGGAGACCGTCAGTGTCGGTTTCGAGTCCGGTACAAAGACATCGGGCAGTGCGCGGGGCTGGGTGACGGTGCCGGTGCGGGTGACGGTCTTGTAGAACTTTTCGTTGGGTGTTACGGGGCGGGGGGTGTGCGCGACGAGGAGGATGAGTAGGTAGGACTGCGGATGGAGTCAGTTTGGCTACATTGTACAGCCTGCCAGTAGCTTATGGTCGGGGGTTGAACTGACTGCAAATACGCCCGCGACCAGGAGCCCGAGGGCCGCGGTCAGGACGGCGCTCAGAGACGCATGCTGCAGCAGCTGCAGTGCGTCAATTGGGAATGCCGCGGGAGCAGTGAAGGGAACGGGTTCGCCCATTATGGGCGAAAGGGGGGATCCTGGAGCTTCGCCGTTATTGGAGGTTCTGCGGTACTAGCGAGTGTTCAGAGAGAGCGTATATGGGTGAGAGCCTAGATCGCGAGAAAAGGGAGTGTTTGAAGTTGACAGACAAGACAGGCGGGAGTGGAGAGATCGATCTGGGGAAGGGAGGGAGGGAGGTGGAGGAGTGGAGGAGTGGAGGAGTGGAGGAGTGGAGGGGGTGGATCGCTCTCTCGGGGTGAGGAAAGGCCTAGGTGTTAACTTAGGGCCAGCTACTGGGGGAGCCGCATCCTGCATGCATGGCTGGCTTGGCAACGTGGAGGGCCCCGGGCGGTTCGCCGGGTTCGCCGGGTGCTGACGAGTCGAGGCTGGACTTGCGTATGTCTCTCGCTCTCTCTCTGCCATGGGGCGGGTGTGGAGATGCCGTAATTGCATATACACAGCTCGTTTCTACTTTTTGTTTTCTGAAGAACGCATGCTGACAAACCCGTAGAGAAAGCTCGCTCGATGGATTGACAGGGGTCCTTTCCTCACTCGGAAACAAACACTCAGAAACACCCACGCTGCTAAGCTTACTTCTGCAGTAAGCAAAGATACACTTTATACGATGTGCATAGAAAATAATATCTACACTCCCCCCAATCTCGGCAATACAAGCTTTATGGATACGAAGATTAATTGAGTTTGGGTTGTTTCTAGCTCTAGCTCCGAGACCTCCCCCCCCCCCCCCCCCCCGGGAGCTTCTGAGCTTCAAGACAAGCTCTTCCCGAAGGGTGGGTGCATGCAGATATTAGAACTAAAAGATACTTGATCAATCAATGCTCCCTACAACCGCTTGAATAGTAAGATGTGTAAGAAGAAGAAAATTAGTATTCGTTATTCTACCCTCCGCCATCTAGCCACCCAGGTATCCCTCCCCCCACCACCGCCTACAAAAACATCTGCGTCCTCTCCCCCGGCCCCCCAATGCCGCCCTCTCTAGGCCCCGCCGCCTTCTTCCCCCTCATGGGGATGCCATGCTTCTTGACATACTTGTGCACATCCCCATCCATCATCCTCCCCACCACCAACCACACTACGGCTACCACCCACGACAACAACGTATCCCACCACCAGCACCCCCTCGGACTCCCCCCCCAACACGCGGCCCTCATCGCCTCTCCCAACATATTCGTCACAATAAGACTCTGCCCCTTCTCCAATCCCTTCACACACGCCCCGGCCACCACATCCGGCGTCTGCCCCTCATCGCTCCCCTCCAATATCTTCGTCAGCTCCGGCTTCAGCGTCTGCTCCACCTCAAACCCCGGACTATATATCGTGGCCGGAAAGCAGCAGTGCACATCGATATCATACAATATACACTCCTGCCTCAGCCCATCCGCCAGCGTCCGAATCGCCGCCTTGGCCGGCGAATACGCATTATACCCCGCAATGGTATAGAACGCCATGGCCGTACTCGTAAACACCAGATGCCTCCGCGGCACGCCCTTGCGCAGCGGATACCGCATCATCATGTTGATCGCCGCATGCGCCGTATACATGACCGAGAAGTAATTCGTGCGCACCTGCTCCTCGAGCTGCTGCGGGGAGAGGTCCTTGAAGAAGCCCGGGACGGCGAAGCCCGCGCACGTCCACACGATGTCGGGGACGCCGCCCCACGCGCGGATCTCTTCGAGCATATGCACGCACTCGGAGGACTGGGTCAGGTCTGCGCTGACGGCGTGGAAGGTCTGCGTGGTGGGGTGGAGGGCGCAGGACTCGATTTCGGCGAGGGCGGAGGCGAGCTTAGTAGGGTTACGGGCGACGATAGCGATATTGGCGCCCTTTTTAGAGAGGAGCTTAGCGACGGAGAGGCCCATGCCTTGGGAGCCGCCGGTGATGAGTACTAGCTGGTTAATTGTTGTGGTTAGCCCTTTGTATCCGTATCTCGAGGGTGATAAGGATCGAGGGTGCATACTCGGCCCTCGACGGGGAGCTTATTCTCGCCCCAAAACATGTTGTATATTGTCGGCGGGATGGTGACAGCGGCGGCAGTGGCTGCGGCGATTGTGAGGGTGCTTACGGAGGGGACGGGGAAAGGCATTTCTGGCCTTTTTTTGTGTGAGGTGAGGGGGGTGGTTGGTGTGTTGGAATGGGTGGTGATTATTACGGTGCAGGGCGACGTGTAGCTAGGCAGTAGGATTACGCGACAGGGTTTACGATCACGTGGCCGATTTTGCTTGGATATGTGGCATATCGAGTGATAAGTTGTGATTAGGAAGATTGGATTTTTCTTTTATATTGTGAGGGAGAGGGGGGAAGAAGGGTGGAAAGTTTACTGGAAGATGTAGAATTGATGAGAGGGCTTTGGTTGGACGGGAAGTGTCAGGTAATGAAAACCTGTAGATTTTTTCAGGCCCGGACCGAATCGAGAGGCACCAGAAAACCGAATAGCGACCGCTATATGAGTGTCACGCATGCGCGCAGCTGCAAAAGCTTAACGAGACAAAATCCGGCTCAAAATATAAGATGAGATAGAAATAAGCTCAACTTAGGAAACATATTAAACCGCGCCCTATTTCGTCCGGCCCGGGAAAGTTATTTCATTAAGATAGTGCATCGACAATATAGCGCGGAAAAATTTTTCGTCATGAAGCATGATCTTGATTTGATGCTGCCGCCGGATCTAAATCGATGAGACTGTATATGTATACGTAGCTATCCCCTGTATCGTAGCTGGAGTCAGTGAAACCCGCGACGGGCTTCCAAAACACTAGTGTATCCAGTGAACCATAGGGGATTTGGCTGTCCCTTCATACAAACCGGCCTGGCCTCTATAACCTATGCTTGGATTTACAAGGTGAGGTTTTAATGTCGTTGACTATAGCGCACAAATTCCATCACTCGAGTCAGTCAAATCAACCAACGTTGCAACTACGATGCAGCAGATACACGAATCAATTATTCCCGCAGATGGCTAGATATAGGGGATTAACTTACCCGCCAGTTCTAGCGAGAAAAGAGTACTTCGAATTCTCCAGAGAGGCCTAGGACGAAGGAAAACAACTCATCAGAAAGGCAGATCCGCTTTCGTAGCGCGGACCGACCGGCGAAAGGCCTTATAATCCAGTGAGTCAATCGGCAGGAAAGGCTATCTCGAGACTAAAGAGGGGCTTATCGCGAGACTCCAAGTTATATTGGGATATAAAAGGTGAAGGGCCTATTTATGCATGCTAGCTAAGAAGACTAGGAAGTGGTATTAGTGAGATAGACATTAGACAGAGGGTGTGAGGGAAGGTCCCAGGATTTTCTCGAGCTCGCCGGTAGATAAGTACATGTAAGTAGTATATGATTTAATAGATTGTCTGCAATGTTACCAGTGCACTGGAGCTAAGTCTATGCTCAAATCTCATCTCTTCTTATCCCTTCGTCTGTCGATGCTACGCCCCACAGTATATAAAATGGAGCGTCCCAGTTTTGATGAGAGACCAATTAATTCATACGAAAGATAAAGCAATCTATGAGCCAAGTCCACTCTCAAGACGAAGAAATACTGCACATAACCAGAAAATTAAAAGCCCAAACCCATCACAGTACTAAATCACCGACGATCTCCAATCCCTCTCAATTCCACCAGCTAGAAACCCCACCAAATCCCTTCCCAAGAGCCACCGCAAAAGCCCACTACCAAAAAAGTACCACCACCAACGTCTAACAGCCCCCATACCTCCAGATCCAATATTCCACTTTTCCCCTCAAACCCATCCGGGTCGAGTGATATATCATGACGCAATTTCTCCGCACCGCACATTAATTGCGGGTGCCCCACGCGATAGCCATATTTACATAACAGCAATCACCCATCCGCAATTGGCTCGCACAAATTCTACAGCCTTCTTTTCCCCCCCCGATCTCCGTACGCCGCACGCCCCCAACAACGGTTAAACTTGCCGCTCGCTGATGCCTGACCAAGTGTCGATCACATATCACATTTTGAAATAATGCAAACTGGTATGTATGTACGATGTTATTGGCTCAGAGCTTGAGTCAAAAACAGCGTCATGGACTACCGCAAATACTCATCGCCGTTTGCTGTTTTTTTTGGTGTAGGTATCTAACCCTGATGTCCACTCCCAAATTCCCCCAAATTACCCTAATCCATACTAAAAATTCGTTTTCCACCACTGACACCCAGCTTCCCTCAACCCAGTTTTTAAAACTGTCGCTTAGTAACTCAGTTTGAAACTTCCGGGTTCGTCACGGGCCCCTAATGTACAGCGGTAGGTAATAAGTGATTGAACGGGCTGAGACACAGAGATACCAGTTTTGGGTGTTTGCAGGTATCCCTTCGTCTGGCAATGCTGCCCACCCTATAACACATGAATTATATTTGTATGTGAGATCTATTATTTGATAGGAGAGATAACGGGATCTGTTAGTAAAGCCACATATAAAATTTGCTTTTTTTGGGGGCGGGCAGCATTTTTTTGCCAGACGAAGGGATAACTGTATCTCAGGGCGTTCCATCACTTATTACCTATCGCTGTACATGAGAACCCAAGTCCCCTATGGTTGTCAACCTCCTTTTTATTCTGACCTAGCAAACCACACAAAAAGAGCCTTGAACCGTTCCCATATTCCTGTGGCGTGCTGTGGCGTGCTGTGGCTTTCGCGTGAAAAAGGTTTAAAAAGATGGTGTCCCGGGCAGGGTTGACAAATCTTGGCATCGAAATAACGCCGATTTTTCGTTGCAGCGTGCACAAAGGGAAACAAACAAACAACACTTACCAAATGCGACACGTCGATATCAACAGTGATTCGAGTGATACTCTGTGATCAGATTAGTTAGATAAGTACATGTAAGTACTTGATCAAGGGGCGAATATCCCACGGAACGAAGCATCAATCTGGTTGGGCATGTGGTCTAGGGACTAGACCCAAATTAAGGTTAAGTTCACGTAACCCAAATTAATGTTAAGGTCACGTCACACATCTATGTAGGTAAACAATCAATAGGTATCTTGGGGGTTTTTTTTTTTTGTTTAATTCATACCCGTAGGTATCTTGGTTCTGGCATGTTGAGACCAAAATTGTTTACTCAGAATGATTTATCCCGTGTCATGATTAGTCTACATATGTAAGTGGATGCCCAATTGAAGTTTACAGCCAATCAATTAACTTCAGAAGCGAATTAGAAATAGCAAAACTCTGCCCAAACCTGTCGCTGTGACGTTGTACAGAGGTTTCCCCAGCATGTAGCCCCCCAAATAACCACATTGGGTCATAAAAATAAAGAACCAGGGCAGGCAATCCGTCCAAAAACATTATAGCAATTCCCAGATGTTGATGGGAAATGCCGTAAAGTGGAATAGATAAAAGAAAAAGGTATAGCCACACGTACATGCTTGCTGCATAATGCAAAATAGGAAAGGTTAAGAAGAAAAATAGACAAATCGTTAAAAGCGTCAAGGTATTGTAAGTCGTTATCGTAGTATCATCATCATAGTCATTATAAGCCCATCACATAATCATTCATAATCATCAGTCGTCTTTTTCTGCTTTTTTTTTTTTTTTGATCATGGTTCAGACGGCAAAGCTTTTACCGCTTGCTCGCCATATCCCGTTCGGCCTCCTGCAGTCGGCGTCGCCGAAAGTCCAATTCCTCGGGGAAATTTCCGCTCATCGGGGACGTAGGAGCAGTCTCTGGTATTTTTGTTTTTTGTAGTCGAGACCGTGGTTGATCACTATCCATTTCATTTACCTGTCGATTATGTCAACAGTATGACCAACCAGCCCGCCAATGAGCGCACATACCCACGAGAACACATCCTTAACGACAAGACTCCTCACAGCTTCTCGCTGGTCGTCATCAAGGTCGATATCACACATTTGCCCATCTTCCTTCCACCTTGTCTCCAACGAATCTCCTGACCACGCCGCTGTCGGGGGGCTCGACGACGGAAGTACCCATAGTAAACTTCCACTATTACCACTGGTACCCCGTGCACGGTTTGGAGAATACGAAGCCATCCCTAGAGCTGTGGCAGCGGCTGAAAGTGAGAGCGAGAGATCAGCATTGTGGGGTATTAATGCGGGGCGACGACCACGAGATGCAAGGGCCTGCGGCGAGGGTACCGATGGTGGAGAAGGTGATGACTGTTGTTGCTGTTGGGAGATGGTAGCCATTGTTGTAGTGGGGGCTGAGTCTAGGATGGGGCAGAAAAGAGGGTTTTATGGCAGGAGCTGAGATTTGTGGCGGTATTGGGGGTTTGGGGATTACAAGTTAAGTGAAGTCGTTACAGAATGCTGGGCACTTGATCGGTGATGTCAGCTTAAGTCGAAAGGATATGATAAGGAGAAAGAACAAACAAAGATCTCATAGAGTACAGAAGTATAAAAAAGATCAATCAAGAAGATTATTTGACGGTGGAGAAACTCACAATGTCGGGATGAATTCAATTTAGTCCGCACTTCTCTGTTCAATGCTAGCTGGGGACGAGCTTTAATAGAAGGTGTTTGGAAGCGTTAGAGGAACCTTCTATGAGAGATCAACAAAGTGACGGCTCAGGGTGTAGGTATGTAACTGTCAACAAACAAGATACATGTACGTCCCGGGTACGCTCGTTAACCACCTGCCCTGCGCGTATGAGACAGCCACGGTTGTGCCCAAGCCACGGCAATTAGGGTAGTGTGGCTTGACTACCAGCCACCGTGGCTTAACCATTAATTAATGGTACAGTACAGTGGAGCTCATGCTCAATATGCTTGTGTCGAGAACAAATTTGCCTGTACCGACTTGTCCGGGATTGGCCAACTATATGCTACTATCAAGGATATGTTACTATCGAGAATGTTAGTATACTATCGGGATCGACTTCACTCGTGCATGTAGCTTTCAATTCAACTTACAAGTTATGGCCTTAAGCTTCTGGGATCCGGACGTTCGGGGGGCACTTTATAGAAGTCAGAGTTGATGTCCATGTACCTTAGGCCGGCAGAATTAATCAAAATTGTGTTACTCAAATTCGATGTAGAAGTCGGGATATGAAATTTAAAGTCATATAGCTTCTCACGATATTCTAGCTACTAAATATATCCGTGGTAGCTAGATGGCCACCTAGGCGCCGTGGTGAAGTATCTAGATCTTATAATTAAATAATCGATAATTTCTTCAATTCACGAGTATTCTAAACTAGAGGAAAAGAGAGCCTTCTGCGATGTATTGACTACAGTAATTCTTGCCGAGTCCAACTATATGTAACAGCGATCGACTTCATCTCAGCGGTAGCCTGATCGATCATGATGTATGCTAAATTTACCAAGCTGTATACCTCACTCTCTAGCTAGTCTAGTATCTACATGTACCTACTCAGATCCGGCTGGATACCGAACGTGGGCACGACTTTCGCAGAGTTGAGATCAAGCCTGACAGACCAAGGGGTATTATATATATCAAGGTGAATGAGAAACACCTTTGAGGTTTTTATAAATCGTACTGTGACGCTTAGACTAGCTACATACGATATTCGCGGTAGGGCAAGAGCCTAGATAATTGAGCTGCAAGCTAGAGTTTGAAGTTATTCTACATGTACTGCTAGATCATGCAGAGCTCGTTAGCATCAGGTCATTTAGTTCTTCTTACCTGTCTCGAGGCGAAGTTACATGTATGTAGCTAAGAGTAATCTCGTATCCATCCCCTACGAGCAGCTGATCCTAGTACTACATGTAGCTGCATGTGGGTGTAGGTACATATATGTACTCTATAGCTGAATATTGCATACGCTTATCATCAGCTTAAGCATTGTTGCCGGGCAATGATCTTGCTCATGTAGATACCTGGCCGTGGGACCACATAGCAGACAAAATTACTTGTAATTGCATGTATATATAGGTACTACGCGAGAGGCTTACGTATGAGAATTGTTTTTCGTTATTTTTTTATTTCATAATTTCATTGTTTCCATGGTGCAAGACATGTACCTGCTTACATGTATATGTAAATTTAGTCTGATCTAACACCCGTTTGAACATGTAGGTACATATTGTGCTCGCGCCTAAGGTGCTATTGGCCTATTAAAAGTCACTCCGGCCTGCTATGTGAACGAATTTTCATAACGCAGGGATAATTATCCGAGAAAGTGACGAGTCCCTGGAATTTCTCTCTCATTGTATCTGTTTTTTTTTTTTTTTTTCGAGGCTTTTGAAATCATCTGATTGCGTGGTGCAGGATCGAACCAGCTACATAATACATGTATCTGCATACATACATGTACGTTACATTTAGTACTTGATAACCTAAACGTGTACAAAAAGTAAGTTTAGTCCGTAAGGCTGGGTACATGTAGAAATCATGTAGGAACTTACTTGTACCTAAATGTACCTAAGATGTAAGTATGCATCCCAAATCCACTAGAAACTACATGTACGTACATGTATGTATGCATGTACGCGTACGGCCAGTGCTGCCAGGATTAGCCCCTCCTGTCACCATTCTCCTCATAACCAAACTCCAGTTTATCGCTTCAACACGTTCAAATTGCAACACCTAGGTTTTATCGAGCTTGATAATCTCTCTTCACCTTGACATCATCTTGATCTCTCATTAATTTCTCACAGCCATGAAACACCAGTTTGGGTTCCTGTAAGTTCTCTAGCTACAAGCAAAGTGATAGGGTCGTATTTAAACTAAATGGATAAAGGGTTCGGCCCCGTAAATTTGAGAAGAGTACAGATTCCAGTACCAGTGCTGCGAACCTTAAGCCGTTTGAATTATAAGGAGATATGCTGCGGATTCATGTTGGCTTTTTGATTTGCACAAAGATTCATATTAGCTAAAGTCTTTTTTAGCTAATATTGTCGCGGATTATGGTGGGCCCCTCAGTACAGGAATCCAGAAACAGATCTATGATATCCTAAACTTTGAGAATTGTATTCTAACTACTTTGACATGAGTATTAGGCTGGTATTTTACATTACTAAATTCGCATTCTTCTCGTTACTAAACTGGATCCTTTGGCTGTACAGTGGCCGCTATTTTCATGTGAAGTAGTGAAATATTGAGTCCGTAAATGTCACGAAAATGCTGATCCCTGGGATGTGGACTGATTATTCCAGCTTCTACTTAAGTCTTACTCGAGGCGGCTTACGATCGTTATCTCAAGAAATTTCCTATCTACGACTAGGCTACAGAGCCCCGGAATCCTTACAAGCCGACGATACAGCCTGCCCTGAATTTACTCACAAATCTAGCTTACGGATAATTATGTTGGTATTCTAGTTAAGAATCGGATTGTTTGCTGGTTCAGATTTGGGTGTATAATTCTACTTTTTATTAGGTTGGATCCCTGAGGCCCCATTAGCTTAATTAATCAATTTCCTCTCAGATACATGTAGTCTATGCATGCATACTAATAAAAGCTTTGGGATAGGGAAAGCAGCTTCTGCTCCAGGCCTACAGTAATAAACAGACTATTGCCATCTTATAGTTGTTGTTGGATGCAACGATCTAACGTGTTATAGATAATTATTCATGCTACCCGGGAAGAAAAACTTTGTATATCCTTTGTATCTATTACGGGAGCCAGATTGATTTTCAGTCTTTCAAAATCTATCAATTTCTCCTTTAAAAAAAAACTTAGAACTAATCACTCGCCATATCACGGATCGACTTTTATCTACGGATAAATCTACTAGTTCCTCTTTGCTTGGGCTAAGATCTATAGTCATGAACCCTTTACATCTTGAGTCTTCGAGCCTCCTTCTCCTTCTACACGTGGATCATATGTATATGTGTCAACAGGTTTTTAAAAGGCCGGTATGTATTATTACGTTTATACGATGAATACTCGGGTTTAAAACGTTTTGACTATTGCACTAATGACGAAAGTCTGTGATACTTAGTTTAGAGTCATCTCTGCCTTACTTACTTCGCTCTGCCACTAAAGGCTTAAAACCAAAATACCCAGCCCAGTCTTTATGACTAGAACGATATCATGGCGCTACTAGCTCATATCTCCATTTCTAGGGCTTTCCAAAATATTGAAACAGAACGAGCTGCATTCCGAAGTTTACTTTACACATTGTTTGAGATACATATGTTGAAAATTGTTCAATATGGGGTTATAACATTGGTGAGGCTTGGTCATACTCTCTGGATTGATTATTCTATACAAACATGATAAAACTGTTTGGGTAGAATATTGATATGGTGTATAGATGGGTGATCGAAGCCCAGATTCACTGACAAAATTAACTAGCCCGCTATATTCTTGGTCGGTGATATTATAACCCATTCTGACTTTCCGTATTCCTTACGTGATAGGTAGGCTTTCCTGGCTTCAGAGTCAACAATATCTCGTTCTCCACATTCTCCACGCCCATCACGCTCTGCACGCTTCCTCACTCAAGGACCTAACTAGACTCATATCTGGTTCATGCTACCTCAGAAGAGTCCCATACAACCACAGAAACGAAGGGCCCCGTTTCTTAAGAATCTACCCCCAGGTACTCAATGGTGTGACACCAGGTTCCAGAACTGACCTCACCTTTCTTCGTTATCATCATCAATACATCTTATAACGTTTATGATACCTATTAAATAAGAGGGGTGTGGTCGAAATACTGATGCATTACATGAAATAGCTGCTCAGGCCTGTCAGGTTGATCACCAAAGCCACCAAAGCGCCCACATTGATAATGTAATAAAACCAGTCCATGGAACGACGAATACTGGGCGGATCTGAAGAATGTAAGTTATCCACTTTCGCCTCTCAGTTATGAAATGAAATAATAATACTTTAGCCCACCTAGCTACTTGATAGATAGATGTGTGGGGCCCTCATATCCTTCTTGTTACTCTATGGAGTATTCAAGGACAAATACTCGATTGATCATGAAGGGTATCCCTAATCACACCTATACTCGTTTCCACCTAGTATCGGTGCTAGTACATAGTTAGAGCTATCTATAAGTTCTAATAGGAGCTCTTAAGCCTTGAATTAAGCTGCTCGTTTTTAAAAGCGGTAAGACTTTGAGTCGACTAATTTCGCTCACAAGCTTTCAAGGAGCTAGTTCCCTACTTAGACCTGACGACAACATCATGGCCTAGGCGATGAGGATGATGGCTGTGCCATAGTCTTCCTAACTTTGTCGTTTATATGGACTGACCTTTGAATTTACCTAGGCCCGGAGTAACGTCGAAAATAAACGCTATCGAAACTTTGTTCCCCACAGAGCGAAGGAAGCCCTCGATCGCAAAAGTACGTACGTAACTAATGGAATAAGCAAAAAATCAATTACCCAAAAGATCTTTTCTGAGTAATTCCCATCTAGTCGATCGTTGATTAAGCCAGTTTGCTAGTCAATATGTTTCCAAATATGATTCGAATATTCTGGGGTTTTCGAAGATGGTTAAGACAGTATATCGATCGCCTAAGCTGATGTTATCCAGTCCAACCAGTGCTCACTATCGACCACACTTGTATCATGAGTGGAGAGACACGCGTTTTAGCCACGTGCTACCCCGGGCCCGGGTTCGGGATTGGATTTGTCGCGATAGGATCCATACAGTACCCAGCTACATTCTTCATGAACCCAGTGTAGTAAGATACCATTCTAGCACATGCCAAATCCCCTCAACTCTCCAGGCCCAACCTCCTTCAGCCTAACACGCTTGAATTGACGTGTGTGAGTTTCTGAGGATCTAGTTCATCTTGGCGAGACTTGTCATTTCCAAATTTTCAGGTATAGACGAATGAGATAGCTAGATGTTCAGAATGATGAGCAGGGGAATTCCGTGGATCGCCTTCAGCCCCTTCCGATTGGGCCTTTTGATAAATTCTCGACAGCCCCAAAAGGTTACTTCTGGCGGACTATGACGCGACACTTAATCTGCTGACATTCGGACCTGACATTCTTGGTGGGTGAATACGAGGTGTGAAGCATGAATCAGATGTTTAAACATGACATATGTCTGTCCTGGTCTGCTGATTGCTGATGTTGTGTAGGCTTGGTTCTTCCATTATTCTAAAGCTTTCTTTCCAGCTGTTGCCCTAGTCTGTAGCCTCTTATTCGGGCGCAAACGCACTACGATCAGGCTTTTACCATCTCGGCCGAATAATCCTCGAGTCTGGCAAGTAATCCCATATCATGGGAGTTTTGTGAGTCCCATAATAGATACGATATTGTCTAACGGAAAACCTTTGGTGTAGCAGTTCGAAAATCTCTCAATAACGTTGCTAAGTCTCGATATCTACTCTCACTTTGCTCCCTTGACGGTTGAAGAATATGCTGCTTAATTGCTGAATGACGTTCTAGGATGATTAATTGGCTAAGGCATCGCCTATGACGATTAATTCAGTTTGATAATATATTGCAATATATAGCCCATTAGTAGTTGACACTACGCTCCGATCCTCGATAGTAGGTAAGCATTTGCGCTGGTATTCTGTTGGGCTTATAAGAGTACCTAGCTTATATTTGTTATAACTTAGAAACCCTTTGTTACCTTCGTCGAGTTAGAGATCCAAAGTTTAGTTTCTTTTTTATTAAGGTCTGTATATGCAGCCGGCTTCATACTCATCTTTGGACTCTACAAAGCCCCCGTATTCCTATTTTATCACAACAGCATAGAATGATATATTGTCCCACCAACGTACCTTTGCCCTTCGATTTTAATCGGTTTTAATAGTCGATGTCGTACGATGCATACGGGTTGGACATAAGATTATCCTAAATCCACGGCTCCAGCTTTAAAGAAGAATCGCAAGCAAAGGATGTCAGGCAGAAGCAGTGCATTGAACGGCCGGCGGTTGATTTTCAGCCCATCAACCTGGGTGACCGATCCCCAATGCAGCGCGCGGGGACAATCTTATATCAGCTGCTTCTACTGACGGCCGGACATGAATCTCTATATTAACCGGATGCGAGGATCTTTAAGCGGATTGGTGAACCTAACGCTGCGTAGGCGCTCACATTCTTTGTCGATCTTCCGCTTGCAATTCCTACTATCGATAGACGGATCTTATGTTTAATAACGCCACTTTCCATGGCGGGGAATGAAGTGCCGATTCTCTACTTGAAAATTCTAATAAAATGACTTTCCTTGTAAGAACTTGGAGCGCTCCGTATGCATCCGACCCTGAGCATTAATGCGATATAATTCTGACTTCTGGAAATAGACTACTTGCGGTTTACGTTGGTACACGGTGGGAATATTTCTGATCTCTTTATCGACTCCCCTCATCGTCTGATTGACGTCCGTTTGCTGTGCACCCGTACCCCGCGTTTTCATTTTACTGTGTTACAAATCGCTTATACAATGTCTTGCGTTCGTGGAATCACACACAGATAAGCGACGTCTAGATCTCTCATATTTTAATATAGACGAGTCCCTCAACATTTCACTCCCCAAGGTGGCTTGGAACTAACTTATAAGCTTGATAGGTACATATGTACATACGATGAAGACCAAACGCATAGGCCTAGGTCAATGTACCACGTGGGACTTTTCACGATACGATACAGTATTTGTCAAAAATACATGATATGAGATTGAAAGTTGTCTCTACTGCAGCTTCGATTAGCTACTTGGGATGAATTGGGAGTTACCTGGTGGCCTCAAGTCGAAGCATTGATCAGTTCCGATTGGCACTGCTAAATACACAAGTTTGACAAAAGCATATTCTGGTGCTGCTAATCAAGATAATCGATTGAGATTATTTCTTTTTTTTTCTCGAATAATATCGTTCTGGGGTACTCACATAGACGCAAAAATACAGTTGACAAAAATATGCCAGAGAAGAACAATGTTTTTCTTTTTGCTTTCGGAAAGAGAAGATAAAAAGAATTCTTTCATTAGCAATGAATTGAGTCCTCTATATTTGTATAATTTGAGGGACATGGAATCTATATATATTTTCGATTTAGAAGTACATATGTTAAAATATCTGTATTGCTAAATTTATAAAGTTTTATACATCTAGTCGCAGATTATATTGTTCAGGCTTTTACAAATACACCCTATATTTATACATGTATATACATTATGTATCTTCCTATGGTTTATGTATGTAGCTGATACACTCAATAGAGCGTATTTGCCAACCGTCAATTTAAAGAATTTACAAATTGTGGGGCTCCGAAATGGCAACCGGGGCTGTTAATTTTGAATTTCGGTGGGGCGGCGTGCTGTGAGATATACCAGGAGGATCACAAGTACCCAGTTCCAACAGCGTACTTCACAGGTAGCGTGATGGGTTGTCTGGTTTTCGGGGTTTATTCTGTCATACCGTTAACCAGATCGATTTTGGCCACTGCGGGGAACTGTCAATTTTGCCTCCCGAAAATGTCAAGTTTGAAGTGTCAATAGTTGAAATTGACGGTTGGCAAATACGCTCTAATAGTCAATATGTATATATCATGTGATGTGTTACACATACACAGATAGACTATCATAGGCGTTTCTTAGTTATTGTTGATAAAGACAATATAATAGTCTGATGATATTGCTGTATACCAATATATATGTGTAGGAATGACTTTGAAAATGGAAAGTTATCTATGTACTAGTTTATAAAACAATCTTGGCATTAGAGCCGCCTCAATTACAGGCTTAATTCGAACCCGGATGAACCCGCTGTGGGTCCAGTTGGCCAGAAAATCGATCAAGAAAAGGAGAGCGCAAAAATCTCTATGTAGCGAAGAAATGTGTGTTCCCTCCCATGCGTATAGCTGGACATCCCGCGGCCGCAGAGACCAGTCTGTAATATGTAGGCTGTGTTGTGTACTCTATTCTGGCTTACTGCCATAAGGCAGTACTCGGGAACTATAACCAAATTTAATTTCAGGCGTCCCACGAGAGACCTACAGCCGACTTTTTGTACGAGATATGAGAACACTGGTGTTTTCGCACTGGTTTACTTCCGGAGTTTTATCGAGTACCATGCGCCCATGTGCCTTGTTTCACCAATCTAATACATAACTGATCGAATTTGAACCAACCCGCATCCCGGCCCGCCACCTCATTATCGCTTCCAATATGCTCAAAGCTGAGAAGCAATGCGGACAAGTCATTGGCTAAAAGAAGCCACAAAATGTGATCGAAAATTGAGGTATGTGTTGGAACTTCTCCGCTTTTTAAATTTCGCGCGCGCTGCCTGTTCTTCCGGGGAGGGAGTTGGTTCCGTTTTGATTTACTTCGCACATTATATCCTAAAACTTGTAAGATAGATAATTATCGCTCAGAGAGTTATAGTCACCATTACGTATATAAATACTACTAAGAAACCTAACGTGCATTTTAATCCATATATACGAAGTCTAAAAAGTATGATGAAAGGTTTTATTTCTTGTATACATACATGTACATAGATATATCGTATAGCAGCTAGATCATATACCCTACAACAAATATCCTTTTTTTTTTCTACCCCTATACACACGCACACACATTTACTGTGCTTCTAGTTCAAGTTTTCATGATCGATCTACCCGGCTTTTAGTCCAGGGATCTGAAAAGTACAGACCGGTTGTGCGTGGAATTTGTGAGTTTCCTATCATCATGAGAGGTCGGGTGACCATACCGCGTTGTGTTCCCACGTAACGATAAATTGTGCGTTCTTGAGGGTTTTGCAATTAATTGTCCTATCCTGGGAACGCTGAGGAACATGCACGTGCGATCATGAAAGCTCTTTAGTATCACATATATAGCGGGTGGTTTAGACAAATGATACATTGAGATTAATTCAGGAAAAGAAATACAGTAAGAAGTAAATAAATACTACATGCAGGATTCGGATTTCTCATATAAGTTGTTGGTAACACCATTGCATTGGGGCAGTTACGCAGGGGGCCAATATATTTTCTTAGATCTACATACATGTATGTAGCAGTGCTCATTTAATTGGTCGTAGTCGAGTGATAATCTATGACTAACGCGTACGCTATACTTTGGTTTAATGCCTAGACTTCAAGTGTAATTAATTCTGGAACTACTTCCCACTGATATTAGGTATGTATGCTTTATCACAGAGAATGGCACAAATCTGCGTGCATTTCCGAAAAGTAAACTCTGCATAAGTCATTGATGATGCTAGGAGGATCAATCGCTTCCTATAGAAGACACGTATGAGAGAAGATTAGTATTGGAAGCGCATGTTCAATACGTGATTTAGATAGTACTACACCTTCGGGCAGGCCTTCATGCAGAACCTAGCTTAGGGAGTGCTTCTAGAAGACCCCCACTAGTAAGCTGGCCCCTCGAGCTTAAGAATAACCAAGTGCGAAAGAGGGGCCTTGTCGGAGACTAAATACATGTACGTATACAATGCAATGTCTCAGCCAGGCCCCAAATATAAGCAAGGGTTTAGTACTGTGGCTTACTTAATTAGGACTTAGACTACATGTATGTTATAGCCGAAGACCCTAGCTAGAGTAAAACGACAGTAGGTACTCCATGATCGGTGCAAAGTCCGCTTGGTCATCCTATAGTACTAGCCCTATGGTAACAATGAAGCTTCCAGTCGCGGGTGGACGCTGATATGATGATGATGGGGTGCTCGTATCGTTGTATCAATGTACCTACATAGACTGGATACTCAAGATACATGTGTATATATACTCGCAGCAGGTAACAAGTACCCGAAAATGCAAGCCCTAATCTGCAATTACCATTGGAGTAGAAGTCAAAAATACACCAAAACCTTGCAGCTACATTTTCGGGTACTTCAGGCCTGTTGAGAGTATATACCATACGTATACACGTGTATATTATATGTACTTATAGCCCCCGCCATACCTGTCTTACCTTTAGAATACCAAAGCTTAAGCACTATATAGTATGCAGTTACTACAATAGCTAAAGGCGCAAAATTTGAGTGCAATACTGTACTCTACGTCCATGGTGTCTAGGCGCTATAGGCTTAGATAGATCTATGGCTAGCTACATGTACTCTAGATAACTGTACAGTCGCACCTCGCTATCTCGTAATTCGATATCTCGCATCTCTTGCTGTCCCGTACGGATTTGCGGGACAGGTACTGCCCTTCTCCACCAAAAACTATTTGCTGTCTCGTATACTTGCTATCTCGTAGGGGTTTGGCTCCCAGAATACGCTAACAACATAACGAGGTGCGACTGTACATACATGTATTAAAATCTGTACTCTAGCGCATGATTATACACTACAGCGATTCACAGGCATTTGCGAATACACCCATTTGGCGAATTTGTATGTAGCAACCAGCCAGCAACCAGTCAAACTGCGAGTTTGACTAAGATATCCTGATTTCTTATTGGCCGTGACCCCTGTTCGCCAAATGGGTGTATTCGCCAAATGCCTGTGAATCGCTGTACCGCAGTACCCTGTTTGAAATCTAGGCAACAGTGGTGAGCCTCTTTTCTGCCTACTTCTCGCCCCGAGTACCCTTATGATACATGCATGTATGCATGTACATACATGGCCCACATCCCATGTCTCTGTCGCGCATGGAGCTTACGTAACGCATTCATTACATGATAGCTATATCTTTGAAAAGACGAACGTCGTTAACGTTAGATCTATATGTTCAACATAAATTACAAAGCCTACGTGGTTGATCTAGTTCTGCGCATGCGGTTCGACCTAAATTATAAAGCACATGTATCAGCTTGAAGATGATGCATACATGTATTATATAAGTTATCCCTTGGACCGATGAATCTTGTCAAATTCGCGACCTCCTTGCATATACACC